GGGGGGGGGGGGCGTGCTCTTAAGTATTGCATGCCTTAGCGGTTAGACTATTGACCAAGGGCGGGGTAAAAAAGAAAAAAAACTCACCAGGTCCAAGCCCCACCGTCCGGTCCGACAGAACCTCTGCCGAGGGCCCCGCAGGGGTGCGATGACCCCCTCCGTCCGACCCCCCCGCCGTGACGCCTTCCTCCTCCGGAACAACTCCCGACAAAGAGCCAAAGCACGAGGAGTTGTCGTCGCCGGCATCGTTGGAGTCGGTCGCGCTGTCGAGCATAGACAGCCGGACCATGTCCCGCGTGTGGTCCACTTTCATCTGGGGGGTTACGCGCACAGCACACCGGTTGGGGGTATCGCACACGGATATCGAGTTCTTCAATATCGAGACAATGGGCGGCTTTTGCAGACATCTACACTCATACACCGCTTGCATAGGGAGAGTCTGCCAAGTTCACAAAATGCTCGAAAACAGCACCGTGGAGGGGGGCAGGTTGAATTACTCTAAGGGTGTGAACGTCGTTTTTGAGCCCCCTGTCGAACACATGGGTCGATGAATCAAAGCATGTCTTCATGTGATCCAGGAGTTCACGTTGATGTGGGTACAGAATTGTGCCGGCTGCGCCTACGGTAGTCTGTTTTCGTTTCTAGCGACAAGCTGAAATGCTTTCTTGTGTTCGGGCGTGGTCTGGCGTGGGCGGGACATCGGAAGGAGGCGTGCAACTGGATCAACTTTTGTCTTTAATCTCGTCACCATTGTTGAGCCACAAAAACCATCCCTGGGTCCCTGCGATTGATTCGTTTCTCGCCTATGCCCTCTTCGACATGTCATCGATTCCTACCGGCTGGACGCCATCTGCGCTTTCATCGACCATCACCACAACAGCTATTCCCTGCAATGATGTGCTTTGATTCATCCAATTTACCACTACGCTTCGGCCCATTCTACAGTAGCACAAATGGCCGTGGCGAGCATATCCAGAGCAAAACACCCCGAAACAGGCAACAACCGAGCAATAACACCGAGAAAAAAAATTCCGAGCATAATTGACCACAAAGAGAAGCAGACTCTCTTGTCGCCGAAAAAAAAGAGCATCAGCAAGAAGCAGAGAGGAACAAAAGCCTGCCTACCACCACTCACCATAGACATCCTCCTGGAGTAGCGCTGGCTCAGGCGGAACAGCTCGTCCTTCATCGACTTGTTCTTGTGCCTGAGCTCCGTCATCTCGGCCGCCTCCCGACAAAAAAAAAAAAACACAATCACGGCACACAATGTCGCAAAAAAAAAAAAGAAGATCGAAAAGCCAGTGCAGCGAAGCAGCAACCGTGGTCGTCGCGTCGGCGGTGGGAAAACCGTTCCCGGAGAAACGCCAATGAACTGCGTGAAAAAAACTATTCCCATCAACGACATTCGCGGGCGACAGACGACATCAAGGGTGCCGAACTGAAACATATTTCTCGCCTCGATTCGTGACAGGAGAGCTGCCAAGCGGCACGTAGGACGACATCTTACGACCGCCCCCCCCCCCCCCCCCCCCCCCCCCCCCCCCCCCCCCCCCCCC